AAGAAGTTGCTAGATGTGGAAGACAGGCTTATTAGCCAGTAGTATATATGTAGATTGCTTAAGTTGTCTGTGTATTGATGTTAGTAGCTGCAAAATTGCTCTACATCATGTTTTTTATTGCTCTTCTGTCAAACTTCCCGCTAAAATGTATACTTCAGAAAAAGATCCAGGACTGCTAATTAGTACAAAGGTTTAACTAGAGAGATATTATTTTACAAATATATACATTGAAATGTTCAAGAGCTATGAACTTTTGAGAATCGAGCTTGAAGAAAAAAAAAACCTTGCAATATTGTGCACTATCATTTAGTTAAAAGTACAGTATTAGTCTGTGTAGGTATATTTTTATTTTCTCTTTCTTTAAACCCTCCAAGCTATGCAATTTTCTTGTGTCTTATGTCACAGAGTATTTGCGTATTATTTAAAAAAATTTATTTCAAGTTCTAAAACTAAAACAAGAAAATTTTTTAATATTGACTGTTAAAGCGAAAGCTACTTAATTTAAAATTAGATCATATGATAAGCNTAAAAATATAATCTGGGTGCTATTAATATTTTGCTGGGTACTATTAACTTGGCGCAGCTATTGTCTGAAGCATGCCCCAGCTGTTGTGAAGTTGAATGGAAGAATCTTTTCTAGTAAACCATTTAACTAACTGTACTGACCTTTTTAAAAACAGTATTGTGACTTTACCTGATGAGTAGGCCAGGTTTTGGCATTTCTTCGAAAAGGAAGCCTCTGAAAATCCCAATATTACTAGATCAATCTACTATTCATTTTTGAAAATCAAGTAAGTAGTGTTTAGTATCCTGGGTTCTTATCCCGTTAAAAAGCCTGAGAAAAAAATATCAATAATTTTTTATGGGATTTCAACATACGACCTCTCGACTTTCTTTAATTAGGAGGCTATCAAGCTTACCACTGAGTCATTAAAGGTTGGATTTGAAAAAAAGTATTTTATTATCATAGGTGTTTTATATTTTTTGTGCAAACAGTGTTAAGAAGGAAACAATTCTCTTGTTGCAACATGTTGTGGAAGTACTAAAATTTTGAGCATGAAAAGGCCGCAGCCATGTTTTGGCTTATCATTATTTAATGACTTATGTATTTTTCTAAGTCATGGAAAAGAATTAGGGGAGAGGGGCGTAAGACGGGGTGGCGGGCAAGACGGGGTACCCGTCTTATATCGGGAACCGTTTGACCAATCAGGATCGTTTCTGCGCGTGACGCAGCGCCGCCATAAAAGCTTTTAGTCGACGCAGTAACAGATCGATGACATCACTGCTTTTATTTGTTAAGTAGAAAAAATAGTAAATTGGCGATTTTCTTAGCGTTTTTTCACTTTGGTTGCACCGTGATTGTTCTATAAATAACAGCATTTCGAAGTACAAATAGAGTTATTCACATGGGTCAAAGATTTCTCATTCAGGTAAGCACTTGTTTATTTGTGTGCGAGAGCATTGTTTTTAGAGGTTAATTTGTTTATTTATTTGGATATGAGAGGGCAAGACGGGGTATGGGGTACCCCATCTTGCCCGAACTAAAATAGTTCTAATGTTTATTTTGCTATATCAGTAAAAGACTAATGATTTTTAATATAGGTATCTATTATTGGTGATTTTTTTTATCATTGCAGAATGGTGAAAAATTATAAAAGAATAACAAGTAGAGGAGATTGGTCAGAAGAGGTCATGAGAAATGCGGTGGACTCTGTTGTACAAGGCAAAATGGGTTACTATCTAGCAGCAAAGACTTTTGGTGTCCCCCAAACCACTTTGGAAAGAAAAGTGAAGATGCTTTGTGAAAGCTCTAAGAAAAATGTTTCAGCTACAATGAAAATGAAGGTTCGGTTAGGCCCTAAAAAAACAGTTTTTTCTTATGATGAAGAGAAAGAGTTATGCAATTATATATTAGATATGGAGAGCAGGCTTTACGGGCTTACTACAAAAGATCTTAGAGGCTTAGTCTACAGACTAGCAATTCAAAATAATAAACCACATCCATTGAATGATTTAAAAAAAGAAGCTGGTAAAGACTGGGTACTAAGCTTTTTAAAGAGGAATCCCGAATTGTTTATAAGACAACCTGAAAGCACCTCAGCTGCGCGTGCTGCCGGATTCAACAAACAGGCGGTTGATAAGTTTTTCACTTTCTTAGGAAATGTTTATGATGAACATCAATTGGCACCTGACAGAATCTTTAACTGTGACGAAACAGGAATTTCCGTTGTACTCAAGACGAAGTCAAAAGTAATAGCTAAAAAAGGTCGAAAGCAAGTTGGGGCCATAACTTCCGCAGAAAGAGGTACGACCATCACAGTCGAAATATGTTTCAGTGCCAGTGGCCAATATATGCCACCCATGATGGTATTTCCTAGAAAGAGGATGGATCCGCAGCTAATGCTAAATGCTGCACCTGGAGCTTGGGGAGTTTGCAGTGATTCTGGATGGATGACAGCAGAGTTATTTCTGGAATGGTTTAAAAAGTTTATCGAGTTTAGTAGAGCCACAGTCGAACAATCTGTTCTGTTACTGTTGGATGGGCATAGTAACCACACACAAAATATTGATCTCATAAAAAAAGCTCGATCCCACGGAGTCATCATTTTATGTTTCCCCCCACATACAACTCACCGCCTTCAGGTCGCTGATGTTGCTTACATGAGACCGTTGAGCACATATTATGATCAACAAATAACATCTTGGCTTCGCAGCAATCCAGGAATGGTCGTCACAGTTCGGCAAGTTGCTGAAGTTTTTGGGAAAGCTTTCATACAGGCGTCTTCTATGTCAACGACTGTAAATGGGTTTAAAAAATGCGGAATTTGGCCATATGATTCATCAGTTTTCTCAGGAAATGACTTTGCTGCTTCGTTGACGACGAATATTCCGCAGATCGAAAGAGAGCCGACTACTGAAGCAACAATTGCAACTACGACGACTGCAACTCCAATATCTAATATCGGATTAGCAGCTGCAGCAGCACCGTTGTTTAATTCCCAGATTTTAGCTCCAACTGTCACAGGAGCACAGCCAAATATTGAAAGAGAACCAAACTGTCATAAAATCATTCCTCTTGCAACCTCCACTACAACAATATCATCCCCTAAGCCTGGTTGTTCTAGTTGGTTTGATGACACTGAAATAAACAAGACACCAAGTACTCCACAAAAATCAATATTTACCGTAACCACTCCCCAGCAAATAATGCCCTTTCCAGCAACACGCAAAACTTCTCGCGTTGTTAGAAAACGAGGAAAAACCGCAATTATATCTTCATCGCCATATAAAAATGAATTAGAAGAGACTATTAAAAAAAGAAGTTGGCAGAAGAAGAAAAGCAAAAGAAAAAAGCAATAAGAGAACTAACGAAAACCAAAGAAAAATCTGCGGCTAATAAAAATAAAGTGGCCAAAAAGAAAAAAGGATCTAAATATGTCCCATCAATAGAGAGCAGTGATAGTGCAGTTGAAAATACACCATGTTTATTTTGTAATGGTTGCTATTTGGAGTCGAATAAAGGCTGGGCTGCCTGTTCTGCGTGCGGCAAATGGGCTCACTGTAGCTGTGCTGGTTTAGATGATGAAGATAAAGATGCAACGTTTACTTGCGAATTTTGTCAGCAAAAATAAATTGGATTTTTTTCAACCCCATCTTGCCCGACGGAGGGGGCATGATGGGGAGATCTGACCTTATCTACTTTTTGTCAATTTTCTATTTAATTATTTAACATATGTTCCTAATTAGAATTAGTTATGTAAGACTGATTACCAAAGATGATTACTGAAATAAAAAAAAAATAAAGACACGAAAATGTTAGTTTTATTGAGATTCAAACGTTAAGTACCCTGTCTTACCCCCCTCTCCCCTATGTCATTATAAATATATGTCATATTGGCACAGTCTTTATGCCCCTGTATCTTATATAAAAGGTGCAAATAGTTACAAAAAATATGTGCTGACTGTGTATGCCTCAGTCAGTACAAAAGGTTGACTGAAAAAATGGAGCCTGAATAAGAAGTTGCTAGATGTGGAAGACAGGCTTATTAGCCAGTAGTATATATGTAGATTGCTTAAGTTGTCTGTGTATTGATGTTAGTAGCTGCAAAATTGCTCTACATCATGTTTTTTATTGCTCTTCTGTCAAACTTCCCGCTAAAATGTATACTTCAGAAAAAGATCCAGGACTGCTAATTAGTACAAAGGTTTAACTAGAGAGATATTATTTTACAAATATATACATTGAAATGTTCAAGAGCTATGAACTTTTGAGAATCGAGCTTGAAGAAAAAAAAAACCTTGCAATATTGTGCACTATCATTTAGTTAAAAGTACAGTATTAGTCTGTGTAGGTATATTTTTATTTTCTCTTTCTTTAAACCCTCCAAGCTATGCAATTTTCTTGTGTCTTATGTCACAGAGTATTTGCGTATTATTTAAAAAAATTTATTTCAAGTTCTAAAACTAAAACAAGAAAATTTTTTAATATTGACTGTTAAAGCGAAAGCTACTTAATTTAAAATTAGATCATATGATAAGCTAAAGAAAAATGTTTACAAAATTATTCAAAATTTAAAGGCTATCAGGTAATACTAGCCGTAAAAGACAGTTAATATTTTGAAAATTCGGCTTCAACAAAAAGTTGTCAAGATACTGAAATCCAGAAAATTATTATCAGTTGACTGAGAATTTTAAACCAACTTTTTGAATTTTTATCAAGCCAGCTTTGACTAGTTATTAGTGTATCTATTTTTTTCTAGTACTTTAATATTCTTACCTGACTTGTAAGTTTTGTGAAATTACATGATGATAATCACCCTATTCATATATGTTGGTTACTTTTGTCTAACAATTTTGTTGTTGTTGAGTAATTTCTTTACTAATTATAATCATTTTCTAACTATTTTAAAATTTAATATTTCTTAGAGAATAATTTGAATAAATCCCTTTAAAGTTTTATTACAAGGCTTATGTATATGCATTTAAATATTTTGTTACAGGTAAAAGATTCAATCCCATGGCCTCCAAATCCGAACGAAAACATGGAGGTATCTGACGTTACTATTACTAACATAAGTGATTCCACTGACTCAGAAAATTTTACTAGTCTTAACATCTCTCAACATGATTCATTGCCTACTGCCAGTGAAGACTCTAGTTCCTTTAGCTGTATTCAGCTACCTGTAACAAGTTTTACCTCTGACACTTTAAGAATAGCTCCAGTTACTTCCTGTTTAATGAAAAATGTACATACTACGCAAAGTTCATCAGTCATTACTTTTCCACAATTACAGTCCATACGCTTTTTACAAACAAATTTTCAAACTACCATAGAACACAGTTCAACTGATAGTATTTCAAACTCAGCTGCGTTATGTGCCCAAATTAAAAGTTCTCGAAGTATAACTCAGCAATCACTCGATAATACAAGTAACACCTGCCAAGGTGTTTCTAAAACTCATAAAGATACTTTATCAGCCATTCCACCAGATAATCAATTCATAAGTCGAACTCAAAATATTTTGTCAGGCCATCCTTTGCATCAAAATTTACAAACACAAAGTACTGTAGTTTTACAACAACAAACATTGTTACCACTATCATCTCGGCCAATTATAACAGTGCAACCACATCAGAAACCTCATTATCCCATGGTCATGAGTATGCCATGTAAAAGTAATCGCATTTCAGGGATACATACGACTTTTCACCGCTCATCACGAAATAGTAACAGCAAAGATCAAATTAATAGTCGCCCTCGGAATCTCACAAAAGAGCCACCTGGAGCTGTTAATTTTGAAAGAAGTTATCAAATTTGCCAAGCAGTAAGTACCTTTTTAAAACTTATTTTGGATCCAAATCATATATATCTTACAAGTAGACATAAAATTTCAAAAAAAAAAAATAGTTGAATAACAGACTACACTCTTCGCCTGTTTCTATAGTACAGAGTTATGCCTCATGTAGTAAAACATTATTTTAAGGCTCTAGCTCTTATAAAAAAAAAAAAAAACTCACTCCATTTCTGATTTTTGAAATTGTAATAATAATCTTACAAAAATTGGAGATATTATATATTTTAAGTTAAATCAAAATACGTGAGAGCGTGTTTGATGAAGCAGTTGAAGCCTCGTCGACCACCCTACTATTTACTTCTGATTTGCATACTCGAATTCTTAAATAACGAAAATGAATGATTTTTATCGGTATGCCTCATATATTTTGGTTTAATTTTGTCTTTCAAGAGCTATTCTATAGCCTTACTGACAAAAATGGGACAACAAGTCGCTACAATACAGGAAAAAGAATGTGTGTACCGCAAAATGCTCCAAACAAGATTTTATAACGCACAGTTAACACAAATTGGTCTTACCGTTAAGTCAGCTACAAGGTAAACTTCTGCTATGTATGGTTGGCATAGAGTCTATGCTTGATCTTCAAATCAAACAGTAATATCAATTGTGTGATATTGACTATAGATATTTGCTTAGTTCACACTGTTTACAGCAGACTATATGTATCGTTGCCTAACTAGATGCCTACTTAGTGGAAAATTTGAATGTATAAAAAAATTATGCATCTTAAATACAATTTACATCTTATAACTCTACACTCCATACGTCTTAAATCAAAACACTCAAGGTCAATATCGAAGGTAAGGGTGTGAATGATTGGATTAATTTTTAGCAATATACAAAATAATTATTTCTTAACTGTGCAAATCACTTGTACTACTTCTATAGTCTTCATAGGTGATAAACAAGAACTAACTGTGAAAAACATTCGATTTTTTAATAAATAAAAATTATCAATAATTAATCATTGGCAATCTGAAATTGATTAAAATTTTATACATCATCAACAAAAATCCTTTTAATTTTTTAGCTAGTTCATCCATACTATTGAATGGATAGCTATGTCATCAGGAAAAAAAGTATGGTCAGTCAAACTAACTGTTTCCAATAATTAATTAACATCATTTGGAGCTTGCAGAGAAAAATAAAAAATAAGATGGCAAATAAGATAAACAATTTTTAATAACATTTTTCTTACTGTGTGTTATGAGTTAGAGAAGCAGTAATTAGATTCAGTGATTTACACAATGTTTAATTAGACAGCCATTTATACAATCAACTTAATAAAGTAGGTAATTTGAATCTTTTTTAAACTGCCATTAATAAAAATCTGTAGACCCAAGTAAACTAAACAATCTGGGTCATTCAAAAATAATTATACATGTATAATCAATAATTTCAATAATAGTTAATTACAGAGTTGTTGAATAAAAATACGAGAAACTTACACATGGCTTCGAAAATTTTCGTAAGCAATAAGTAATGATTAAGTTTAGAAATTATGCGAAATTAGGTAGTTATTTAGTAAATGTCATTAAGATTATATGTAAACTTTGTTAATGTATAAAAAACAACGATGATTAAAACTAGTAAAAAAATGATACTGAGGTATTATGTGGGAATTGCAGAGCTTGGGGGTGTAAGAGGATAGAATACACGTGAAAGAAAGTTATGTATCCGTTTATTCGAGGTTCGAAGCAAGAGCAGTTGCGTGCGAGGTGTTAGGTTCGGGGGCCGATCGAAGAGAGAGAGCGGGAGAGTTTTTAACATTCGGACCCGCCGCTGACAGGTGCTCTCTGTGTCTGCTGCTCATGCGCCGTGAGAGCTTATGAAGGTTCTAGACACTGTACGTCACAGGGGTGCTTCAGTGCGTTACTTCAAAAATAATTCAAAGGCTATATAGGCCTGTTACTACGGAGAATTTTCCCTGTCTAAGAATGACTTTATCTTTGGTAGTATTCGATAGAAAATGTCAAAAAAAACTTAAACCCAAATTTTCAGCTTCCTACTGGATGTGTATGCGCAGTAATTGGTTACTTTTGTCTAACAATTTTGTTGTTGTTGAGTAATTTCTTTACTAATTATAATCATTTTCTAACTATTTTAAAATTTAATATTTCTTAGAGAATAATTTGAATAAATCCCTTTAAAGTTTTATTACAAGGCTTATGTATATGCATTTAAATATTTTGTTACAGGTAAAAGATTCAATCCCATGGCCTCCAAATCCGAACGAAAACATGGAGGTATCTGACGTTACTATTACTAACATAAGTGATTCCACTGACTCAGAAAATTTTACTAGTCTTAACATCTCTCAACATGATTCATTGCCTACTGCCAGTGAAGACTCTAGTTCCTTTAGCTGTATTCAGCTACCTGTAACAAGTTTTACCTCTGACACTTTAAGAATAGCTCCAGTTACTTCCTGTTTAATGAAAAATGTACATACTACGCAAAGTTCATCAGTCATTACTTTTCCACAATTACAGTCCATACGCTTTTTACAAACAAATTTTCAAACTACCATAGAACACAGTTCAACTGATAGTATTTCAAACTCAGCTGCGTTATGTGCCCAAATTAAAAGTTCTCGAAGTATAACTCAGCAATCACTCGATAATACAAGTAACACCTGCCAAGGTGTTTCTAAAACTCATAAAGATACTTTATCAGCCATTCCACCAGATAATCAATTCATAAGTCGAACTCAAAATATTTTGTCAGGCCATCCTTTGCATCAAAATTTACAAACACAAAGTACTGTAGTTTTACAACAACAAACATTGTTACCACTATCATCTCGGCCAATTATAACAGTGCAACCACATCAGAAACCTCATTATCCCATGGTCATGAGTATGCCATGTAAAAGTAATCGCATTTCAGGGATACATACGACTTTTCACCGCTCATCACGAAATAGTAACAGCAAAGATCAAATTAATAGTCGCCCTCGGAATCTCACAAAAGAGCCACCTGGAGCTGTTAATTTTGAAAGAAGTTATCAAATTTGCCAAGCAGTAAGTACCTTTTTAAAACTTATTTTGGATCCAAATCATATATATCTTACAAGTAGACATAAAATTTCAAAAAAAAAAAATAGTTGAATAACAGACTACACTCTTCGCCTGTTTCTATAGTACAGAGTTATGCCTCATGTAGTAAAACATTATTTTAAGGCTCTAGCTCTTATAAAAAAAAAAAAAAACTCACTCCATTTCTGATTTTTGAAATTGTAATAATAATCTTACAAAAATTGGAGATATTATATATTTTAAGTTAAATCAAAATACGTGAGAGCGTGTTTGATGAAGCAGTTGAAGCCTCGTCGACCACCCTACTATTTACTTCTGATTTGCATACTCGAATTCTTAAATAACGAAAATGAATGATTTTTATCGGTATGCCTCATATATTTTGGTTTAATTTTGTCTTTCAAGAGCTATTCTATAGCCTTACTGACAAAAATGGGACAACAAGTCGCTACAATACAGGAAAAAGAATGTGTGTACCGCAAAATGCTCCAAACAAGATTTTATAACGCACAGTTAACACAAATTGGTCTTACCGTTAAGTCAGCTACAAGGTAAACTTCTGCTATGTATGGTTGGCATAGAGTCTATGCTTGATCTTCAAATCAAACAGTAATATCAATTGTGTGATATTGACTATAGATATTTGCTTAGTTCACACTGTTTACAGCAGACTATATGTATCGTTGCCTAACTAGATGCCTACTTAGTGGAAAATTTGAATGTATAAAAAAATTATGCATCTTAAATACAATTTACATCTTATAACTCTACACTCCATACGTCTTAAATCAAAACACTCAAGGTCAATATCGAAGGTAAGGGTGTGAATGATTGGATTAATTTTTAGCAATATACAAAATAATTATTTCTTAACTGTGCAAATCACTTGTACTACTTCTATAGTCTTCATAGGTGATAAACAAGAACTAACTGTGAAAAACATTCGATTTTTTAATAAATAAAAATTATCAATAATTAATCATTGGCAATCTGAAATTGATTAAAATTTTATACATCATCAACAAAAATCCTTTTAATTTTTTAGCTAGTTCATCCATACTATTGAATGGATAGCTATGTCATCAGGAAAAAAAGTATGGTCAGTCAAACTAACTGTTTCCAATAATTAATTAACATCATTTGGAGCTTGCAGAGAAAAATAAAAAATAAGATGGCAAATAAGATAAACAATTTTTAATAACATTTTTCTTACTGTGTGTTATGAGTTAGAGAAGCAGTAATTAGATTCAGTGATTTACACAATGTTTAATTAGACAGCCATTTATACAATCAACTTAATAAAGTAGGTAATTTGAATCTTTTTTAAACTGCCATTAATAAAAATCTGTAGACCCAAGTAAACTAAACAATCTGGGTCATTCAAAAATAATTATACATGTATAATCAATAATTTCAATAATAGTTAATTACAGAGTTGTTGAATAAAAATACGAGAAACTTACACATGGCTTCGAAAATTTTCGTAAGCAATAAGTAATGATTAAGTTTAGAAATTATGCGAAATTAGGTAGTTATTTAGTAAATGTCATTAAGATTATATGTAAACTTTGTTAATGTATAAAAAACAACGATGATTAAAACTAGTAAAAAAATGATACTGAGGTATTATGTGGGAATTGCAGAGCTTGGGGGTGTAAGAGGATAGAATACACGTGAAAGAAAGTTATGTATCCGTTTATTCGAGGTTCGAAGCAAGAGCAGTTGCGTGCGAGGTGTTAGGTTCGGGGGCCGATCGAAGAGAGAGAGCGGGAGAGTTTTTAACATTCGGACCCGCCGCTGACAGGTGCTCTCTGTGTCTGCTGCTCATGCGCCGTGAGAGCTTATGAAGGTTCTAGACACTGTACGTCACAGGGGTGCTTCAGTGCGTTACTTCAAAAATAATTCAAAGGCTATATAGGCCTGTTACTACGGAGAATTTTCCCTGTCTAAGAATGACTTTATCTTTGGTAGTATTCGATAGAAAATGTCAAAAAAAACTTAAACCCAAATTTTCAGCTTCCTACTGGATGTGTATGCGCAGTAATGTCAAAAGTTTTATTTTTTTTCTTACTTATATTTCTCTACATCAGTTTGTACTCAAAAAATTGAAAAACAAATTTATAGAAGTAACTTTTTACATGGCCAACAGTAAAAAAAAATTTTCAACATCAAATGGCGTATAAAAAAACTTATTAACAAACGCATCATATGTAGGTCATATTGATTTTTTTAAAAGTACCATATTTCATGGACTAAAGTATCTTATTATATTTTTTGTTGTTCTTCCTGCTATCTCGCAATGCCTTTAGCTATGTTTTCGGTAAAACATGAAAAAAAAAACTGAAACCTTATTTATTAAAGTAAAATGTGATCTGATTTAAGAAAAATTGTACTAATTTACCTTGAAACTGTTGCCCTTAAGGTAGTTTATTTTGCTCTTTGCGATACAAATCTTAGTTTTGTGAGATCTCTGACAAGATATCATGTAAAATGCCAAAAGCTGGTATTATATATTCCCATTGACTACCTTACGTAAGTACGTAAAAATTTTGCAGCCTTATGATTTGAAAATTTAAATTGCTGAAAATATTGAAAGAAAACATTGTCTGTGCAGTGTATGCAAGATTGTATATAGGAGCAAAAGTATTGTAAGAGTTTAACACGATTAGTAACCGTAAGAGCTCTACTCTGATAGTAGTTGTCTTGTAAGCGGCAGAATTATTAAAATATTCAAAAGACAAAATTGACGTTCGATGAAGCTTTAAAAAACGCTCTGGCTTGTGAAAGCGCAGTCAAAAATGCAGACAGATTGGCGAGTGTTTGTAGTAAGTCTCCAAGTCACGAACAAATGTATAGTTTAAACTCATCAAAAAGCAAGTAGAAGGGCATAACGCAAATGGATATAAGGGTGCTTGCTCAAGATTGCAACAAACGAACAAAGGGACGAATCAAACAAATTTAACGTATTTCTGCTGTGGGTAGAAAAATCACAAGGCTTCAGAGTACTGATACCGGTTCAAGGAGTGTAATTTTTGCCATCGTAAGGGCCACCTAGAAGTAATATGCAGAAAAAAAGGGGGTGCAGCTGTTCAATTTTTCGAGCAAAGCGTATCGTCGGCCGAAGAAGAAAAAAAAAGCGAGGGTACATGTAGTGTTAACGATTTTTTGTATTACGCGAAGATAAAAATATTCATTTTTGCAGTTCAAAAAACTTATGCAATACAAAAGGAGCAGGGCCAATGTGGCTACAATTAAAAATAAGCGGAAAAAAATTAATTTTGAAATTGATACGGAAACTTCCATTTGGATTTTCTAGGACCTTTTTTTAATCGTATGCTTCTGGTAGTTGTAGACGTGCACTCTAAATGACCAGAAATCATTGATTACAAATCCGACACTACAGCACAAAGAATCAAAATGATAAGCATGTTGTTTACTCGCCACGGTTTGCCTCAGCATGTAATAACAGACAACGGAAGGAAGTTTGCTAGCGAAAAATTAAAAATTTTTTTATTAAAATTAGGAATTGAACAATCGTTTTCGCCTCCATACGATCCCTCAACGAACATCGCAGCCAAGAATTTTGTGGGAGTCTTCAAAGATAAAATCGAAATTGTAAAGAGGGGGGAGAAGGTTGTAGGAAGCTATTGATATTTTTCTTTTCGATTATCGCTGTATACTACATTGTACGACTAACAAAAGCCCCGCGTTTTTAAGAACAAGCGAGAGCTTCGCACGCGTTTTGACAGGTTACGCCCAAGCGCAGAAGCGCATGTTTTGACTAAACAAGAGGTGCAAATTTCATGTAGTAGTGGCCCTCGCAATTCATCTTTTGAAGAAGGTGACATAGTCATGGCTGACGATCATAGGGCAGGTATTTTTAAGCGTTTCAAGGCAGAAATTGTTAAATGCCTTACACCATTAACATTTAACGTTAAAGTAGCGCCTGATACAATTTGGAAACATCACCGCAATCAGCTGATACAACGCGACAAAAAAAAATGTAGCTCCACGCGCGTCCGAGCGTCTAAAACAGAAATCGTTGAGAAACCACCTTGAAGGGGAAGAATTGTAGTGTATGCGAGATTGTACATAAGAGCAAAAGTATTGTAAGTGTGTAACATGATGAGTAACCGTAAGAGAGCTACTTTGATAGTAGTTGTCGTGGGAGCGTATTCAATCTCCGTTTTAAACCTCTCTAGGCTTACCTTTACTTAAGCGTAGTAGCTCGATCTATTAACAAGTCAATCTAAAGCGTATTCGCCCTATAATTATTGTTACCTTTCAATATATTGAAGTTGTTATTCAAGTGTGTCTTTTTTGTGTTTTCTCACCTGACCATTTCATCCTCATTGCTATCCCCACGCATTATGTTACAGTCTGTATTTACTATTTGAAGCCTTTTACTAGAAAAGCAAAAACGTTTTTTCTTATTTATTTCAAAGTTAGCAATTTACATAATAAGGCATAATAATAATTGAACTTTAATATTATATTTACTTTTCAAAAGTAAAAAAAATTCACAAAAATAGTTTTGTTAATTTATCGTTATCACTGTCTTTGACCATGCAAACTTCTATTTTATCACAAACAAGCAATTTTAGAACAATATCTAATAGTTTTATTATTTGACAGAAATATTTTAATCTTCTTCTGCTTAAGTTTTATTTATTTTGTTTTCTAGCTCCATGGTATTTAATATTTCTTCTTTCGTATCTTTATCAGACTCTCAGCGCTTACTTAATTTATTATTCGAGAAGCATACAATTCGACATAGAAATCCAAAGTCAGTTAAAATTTTATCATCTAGTTTCTGATCTAATAGTATTATTGCTTAAAACAGCATGTGCTGCTTCTACTACCCATTTTAATTTTGTTATGAATGTCGTATTATTACGTGGGAATTGTGGAGTTTGGGGGTGTAAGGGGATTGAATACGCGTGGAAGAAAGTATATGTACGTTTATTAGTGTCTCAAAGCGAGAG